AGCGCGGCCCTTCGGGTTGATATCCTAAACTGCTGACCGGCCTGACGGTTTGTCGTGGGTGTTGCTGTCTTGCAGGCGCACATGCTGCCGGTGAGCGTAAAGCCCTGAATGTCCCTCTGCCTGTAATTCCTGTGCTCCTGCACGGCCCTGCTGTTTCATTTTGTTTCTTATTTCAAGCTGTGAATGCTTTGCGTGGTCCTTTATTTCTCATCTCCTTGACTTTTAAATTAGGGAAAGGAGGTGAAAGGTGATATGTTCTTATGGGCTGTGGAAGCGTCTAACGAACTGGGGAGGCGCAGGGAAACTCGTCTCTTTGGCAGCGGGTTCCTGAACCTGCTTGGCTCTGGGTGTGAGAATAGACCTGGGGATAGCGTCTACCTCGCCGGGCTCGCTCGTCTGCCTGCGGGACTTTTAGAGAGATCTTAAAGTCTGGAGATGCAGAACTTGAGGTGACTACAGAGAAGAGAAGTTAAAGCAGAGAGAAGATGGGGTGTGATGGTGGTATGGTTGGGAGCAGAGGCAGTGGCAGCTTCACACATTTAGGCAGAGAAGAAAACTGTGCGGATGAGGTCTGTGGAAATACAAATAGAAGAGAGAAAGCCTGAATCAGTGGAAAATAAGGTTTAAAAGTCAATCTTATGCGGCTCCATTATGAGGGAATATTGACTAGTTATATTATCAGTTCGAGGAAAAGTAACCGCTTTCTTGAGCGTCTGGTCAAGAAGAAGGTCATCGTCGATTGGGATGTATTAAGGTTGACCAGAGTGAGAAGAAGGAGTATTTTTCGTAGTTTGAAGGAAAAAGTTGCTAACAACATGTGGTTTCTAAGACTTAGAGAATTTGACAATTTAAGGAAGAACTTATATCTGCAAAAGAGCCGAAGAAAAGGCTGAACTCCAAATAACAGAATCTTGTTGAAAGGATTATAATATTTTTTTAAAATAAGGAGTTAGCAATAAAATTTCAGAGAGATAGAGCTAGGCAGAAGAGAACTGTTGATGGGTTTCTGAGCATAGCTCAGAGGTAGGTCGGTGTTTGGTTGCTGGTGTTAGTACTCCCAGTGAAATTTTTAGTCTCGAAAGCTGTCCAAGAAGTAGCTTGTTAATTTAATCCTTAGTTTGGCTTCAGTTCTCTGCCTTGAGTATTTTCTACCCAACTCAAGCATATTGGAGAAGATGAGAGGAGGGAAGGAGAGGAAGTACATTCAT